GGTCCTAGGATCGAGCCCTGCATCGGACTCCCTGCTCAGCAGGAAGCCTGCTTCTCCCTATCCCACTCCCCCTGCTTGTGTTCCCTCTCTCGCTGTGTCTCTCTCTGTCAAATAAATAAATCTTTAAAAAAAAAAAAAAAAAGAACACAATAGTTTGTAGACAGTAAAAAGAAATAAAGTTTGAAGAACAGGCTGGGGCCAAAGCATGGAATGGCATGAAAGCCAGGTTAAAAAGTTTGGACTGAAGCAGCAGTCTGAGTGGCATGATGCCACATAAGGACTTTAGTGTCAGAGACACATGAGTTATATTCCAGCTCAACGTTTACTAGCTTTGAGACCTTGGGCAAGTTAAGTAACTTGGAATCTCATATTCTCATCAGTAAAATAAAGACTGTAATTCTCATCTTGGAAGGCTGTTAAGATTACAAGGGCAACCTATATAAAGGCCAACAGTGGCCAACACACAGTTACTATTCCATCAGTAGCAGATGTGGTTATTAGACAATGAGTAACATGCTTTTGGGGATGGTTAACTTAATGCTGCAGTGACAGGAGGCACCTGAAGACGGAGAGCAGCTAGGAAGCTACTGGCAAGCCCAAGATTAAGGGGTAATAGCAGAAACGAAAGGCAATGAGCTGAAACTAGGATGAGAGCTGGTGCAGCATGGATGAAGAGGAGAAGGAGGAGGGAAGAAGAGAGGCAGAGAAGGAGGGAGGGAAGGATGGGCAGGTGGATGGATGGCTAGACAGACAGAGAGAGGTAGAATAAACAGGAACTGTTAACTGATGGAACAGAGGACTGACAATGTTAGAGATAATTCAGTGTCCAGCATTAAATGTGGGACAGGGTAGATACACAAGAACTGTGTGCTGAAAGGAAGAGAGGAAGGGAAGCGATAAAGCTTTCAATTCCAGGTGACTAGAAATGAGCACCACTTAAAGATACACAAGTATCAGGAAGCGCACTGCTTTGGCAGAGAACATGATGGGTTCCAAGTGAGTCTCAAAAATAACGTAAAGAGAAATAAGCCTCTCTGAGGCCCAGGGACAGGCTGTTCTGCAGCCCAAGAAAAAGGCAAAATATAGCTGAGGTAGGGTGTTACTGTTATAAAATTTGTCTCTCTCAAATTTCTCTCTATAATGGATCTTCTACAAATTACAATGACCCCTACATAAAAAAGAACAGTAAATTTTTAACTAATAAATCAATATTTCCCATATAGATGTCTATTCTATTTGAAGGGAATAAGCAGCGTGAGGGCTCAGGCTGGGTAATTTTTCTTTTATCTTCCACAGCATGAGGCACAAAAAAAATGGCATGCAGCTTTTCGACCTGAATAAACATTAAAAATAGTTGAAACCTATAAATATTTATGTAGTACACTCACAAAAAATTGAAAACTGGAGGGAGAAAATCAAAGGAAGGCAAATGAAAATGATTATTGACTCAAAGGAGAAACATAAGAAATATGTTATAATACTTTGCAGTTATGTGATTCTATGACTATAATCAAATATATTAGCTTCATTTAGTAACTAAACCAACTATGGATTCAAATCAAAACTATATGCCAAGCTCTAGTTTAAACCACAGAAAAGTATGAAAGAACTGGCAATTTCTTCCAAAAAGATAATCTAACATTACCTCCTACTGTAAATAATGACCATAAGCCAAAATGATTCATTTCCATGTTTCACAACTTAGTTTACAAGTCAAGACTTCTCCCTACTTAAGCCTAATGTCAACACTCTCATCATTAAAGAGATATAGTCTTTGAAAATTAGATTTACATTACTAACTTGTCAATAGGATGTGCACAATTTTGCATTATTTTTTTCCAAACACTATTGATAGGTTAATACTGAAATAAACACTCTCAATATTTATTGCTGATATTAGCCTGTCTTATTACAAGACTCTGAGCTATCCCAGGCAAAATAAACTATGATCTGAGAGTCAGTAGAAGACGTTTTCATCTGGGTTAAAGCCTTTATTTGTGGGTGAAAGATGCTAGTGCTCTTCCCGTCTCAATCATGGAAGCCCATACAGACACGGGGGCCAGAAACTCAAAGTAGTTTGTAATGCTGAGCCCCCCACATGGAGAGCAGCTGGTCTGGAGAGTCCCCCAGTCCCGTGACAGACTTCATGGGAATGAGAAATAAACTTCTGTTAAGCCACACACACACACACACACACACACACGAAGACATTTTCATCAACTACATTCAGACTCTCATGGTTTTTGAGAATTTGGTTCCATTGTAATTGGTTCACTAACTAGTGTTTTCCTAAATGAACCACTGACATCCTGGAAATTAGTAATTATAATTTAAAAATTTTTGATTCACGGGGTGCCTGAGTGGCTCAGTCGGTTAAGCATCTGACTCTTGGGACTCTTGATTTCAGCTCAGGTTGTGATCTCAGGGTCCTGGGATTGAGCCCCATGTCGGCTCCATGCTCAGCGGGAAGTCTGCTGGAGATTCTCCCTTTCCCTTTGCCCCTCCCCCTGCTCATGCATGCCATCTCTCTCTCTCAAATAAATAAATCTTTTAAAAAATTTTTTTGATTCACATTTCAAATGGCATCAAATTCTGACCCCAGAATAGTATAGAAACCATGACAGAAGAAACTGGTGTATATTTACAAATATTTTTAAATTTATTCAATAAATGTCTATATAAGCCCTAAAACCCTAAGGATATAAAAACTGTCACATGTGAAGACTATAAGGAACTTACAGTCTAGTAGAGGGAGACATAAACATAAGTTCGGTAAAGAAATATATTAGCTTCATTTAGTAATATATTTAGACTAAGGAATAAAATAAAATGCTGAACCTCTAGCAAAGCAGGACTCAAATCTGTCACAAAAATCATACAGTCAAGCTAAGGCCAATCAGAACAGACACAAAGACACAACACTAACCTTAAAATATTATTTAAAACATCAGAAGTAAGAGAAAAGTAAGAAGTTAAGCATCAAATTTAAAAAGTACAGATGAGTACTTAGCCAGCTCTATACTGTCCAGAAAGCAATACTTTACGAAGAATATTTGTGGATTTGAGTTGTTACACGGACACTTAGTAGTTAATTATAAAACCTTTCAAGGGTGTTTGCTTTGCCTGGTAACTCATGGGGATATGTACCCAAGAAATGAAGTATGGCAGGATGGAAAGAGTATTGAGTTTAAAATTATAAGCCAGAAATCATGAGACTTCTAGATACCCTAGGCAAGTTATTTCACCTTCCAAAGGTCCCTTTCAGCCCGAAAGGTCTATAATTTTAGTAATCATTACTTAAAAGGAAATCTTACATTAAAACCATGTGGACACCACCTCTAGTCCCTCACCTAAGTAAAAATAGCCACTCACTTCTTTTCCCCCAACTGCACTTCACACAGGTTTCTACTGTAGCATCCATCAAGGTATTTGTTTATCTAGCTTTTCTTCCCATAAAACTGATTATTACTGAGGACGGGGGCCACACCTTATCTGTTATATTCTAACACTAGCACAATGCCTGGCACAACGTAGGCACTGAACTGGTGGGGAGGGAAGAATGGACTGGAGGAAGGGGGGAGGGGCAGGGAGAGGGAGAGACAGACAGAAATGAAGCAGGGGAGGAAGAGTAGGAGGAAAGGAAGGAAAAGAGGGAGAGAGGGAAATTCTCATTCTGTGGGATGATTCATGTGGGCCTTGAAAAGTAATAAATGACTGCTTGTCATCTTTGGATATTTTCCCAGTTTCTGTCAAAAGCAGTTCCACAATTACTCAGGCCTGCTATCTGCCAGTTTAGACAACAGTACCTTACTTTATCATTGTTAAGACTCTATTTTAAGAGTCAAACATCTCTATATGACTACCTTCGTTTTGAACCAGTATGCTAGTAAGTAACTTAAAAACACAGAAGACATATTAAATTCTTTTTAGAGGCCCCATCATACCTGGGTCTTTACCTTGTACATAAAAGATCCTTGATATTAAAGAGGGTGGGAAAGATATTATATAATTGTATTCTCTCAAAACTCCTTGATTTTGGTAACTGGATTGAAGTTATATAAGAGAATGTCCATGTTCTTAGGAAATATACATTTTAGTAGTTATGGGAGCTCCTGAGTGGCTCAGTTGGTTAAGCATCTGCCTTTGGTTCAGGTCACGATCCCAGGGTTCTGGGATCGAGCCCCGCATTGGGCTCCCTGCTCAGCACGAAGTCTGCGTCCCCTCTCCCTCTGCTTGTGCTCTCTGTCAAATTAATAAATGAAATCTTAAAAAAAAAATTTAGTAGTTATGGATTAAGGGGCATGAACCCCATAACATACTCTTGCATAATTAAGAAAAATACATAAATAATACATGTATGAATGAATACACAGATGATATGGAGAGATAGAAAAAGAAAGAAAACGGAGCAAAATGTTAACAATTGTGAATCTGGATAATGGATATATTATTTTTGTAACCTTTCTGTAAATTTGAAGTATCAAAATAAAATATTACCAAAAAAGTTAATTGCTGGGCGCCTGGGTGGCTCAGTCGGTTACGCGTCTGCCTTCAGCTCAGGTCATCATCCCAGGGTCCTGGGATGGAGTCCCACATTGGGCTCCCTTCTCAGTGGGGAGCCTGTTTCTCTCTCTCCCTCTGTCCCCTGCTTGTGCTTGCTCTCTCTCTCTAGTGCTCTCTCTCTCTCTCAAATAAATAAAATCTTAAAAAAAAAGTTAATTGGGGCACCTGGGTGGCACAGTCATTAAGCGTCTGCCTTCGGCTCAGGTCATGATCAAGCCCCGCATCGGGGGGTCCTGTGATCGATCCCCACATCGGGCTCCCTGCTCCACAGGAAGCCTGCTTCTCCCTCTCCCACTCCCCCTGCTTGTGTTCCTGCTCTCGCTATCTCTGTCAAATAAATAAAAATCTTTAAAAACAAAAAAAAGGTTAATTGATCATAAATACACACACATATAGAACAATAGTTAGGTAAAACCATATTACTAAAGGATACTCACATGGAATTGAACATTCCCATTAGGGCAGTAAAACAAAAGCCAATTGCAAACATGGATTTCATTCGGACCTATAAAGAGACCAACAAATTGTCATTTCACGCTAAAGAAAACCACTACTAAGGCACACCCAAAAATTTCGGTTTCATGTCATGTTTAAAAGACACTCCCCATAGCAACAAGCTGTTTATTGACTAACCCACCCTCCACCTCCAAGCCCTTCTCCTTGCCCCCTTCTGATGAATAGTATTGGGTGGCCATGTGACCCAGTTCTGGCCAGTGAGTTACAAGTACTGAACGGGACTTTTAAAAGGGACAAAGCTGGCCAGTATCTCTTTGGGCCTTTTGCCCATTCTTCTTGCCTGGAATGAAGAACATAATGCCTGAAGATAAAGGATAAAGTGCCATCAAATAACCAAACAACCATAATCTAATGGCTAACCTAAGTCCTTAATAACATTACTGAGCTGCTACACCAGGTCAGGACTACCAACCTCTGGACTTCTTGAACAAGTAAAAAAAATCTTTATCTGTTTAAGTCATTGCTGGTTAGGTATTCTGTTACTTGCAGCTAACTTCTTACTTAATTACATTAAGTGGTAAAAGTATAAACAAACAAAAGATCATATAGATGTAAGATTAACAATCATTATCTCTGGATGACAGTTCTTTTTTTTTTTTTAAGATTTTATTTTTAAGTAATTTCTACACCCAACGTGGGGCTCAAACTCACGACCCTAAGATCAAGAGTTGCATGCTCTTCTGACTGAGCTAACCTGGGGCCCCCAGATGACAGGTTTATCAGCAATTTTTCTCTCTTCTTTCTGTAGTTTCCAAATTTGGTCTTATAAACACTTAATAACTATGTCAACAGAAAAGCTATTTTCAAAAAGATGCCCTTCTAAATTACAGCTTTACTCAGTAAAATTGCAAGAAACAGAAGATGATATAGCAAAGGTCTCTCCGAAAGCAAAGACAACTGTTGCACAGTTCAGATGTCCTGTGTTAAACATACAGAAATTAAATAGAAAAATTAGTCAAGCTACATAATTAGCCTACCTATGCCTTAGAAAAACTCTTGAACAAGCTCTACTCTTTAAAAATGATGAGTAAATGGGTAATAAAATCATTTTTCTTTACACTTTATGGTATGCCGGACATGCAGAACAAAAAGCCTCTTAAAGAACAAAGGCAACAATAAAGGCCATCTATAAAGCTCCAACTCAGATGCCGGCATGACACAGGTCACCAGAAAACCAAAGATTCAGCAATGACATCAGAAAAAAAGAAAACAGACAACTTCATTTGAAACAGAAGGGCACAGCTAATCAAGAACTGTGTGAAAGGGACAAATTATGACCTCCGAGACAGCCCAAAAGAGCTTCTCTTATTACTGAAGTGACATTTAAGCCCAGAAGCATATTTTCAGTTCCATCTGGTCCAGGAACACCCATGACATGATTGGGTGAATTTCTGAAAAGGTAAGTATGTATTTAATGCAAATCAGAGTCTTATGCTATAAAACATTTTGTGGTTTACCATAATATTATACTTCAGACTCGTACCATGGATAGGTCTCTGTTGTTATTTTTCAGTTTCTCTTCTTGCCTCTCTGAAAAGAATTAACAAACTGGTTAATATACACAATGCTGAGCACAAAGCAGATGTTAAACTGTCACTGACTGGTGACTATAAAAGCATTTGTGTCTCAGTATCACTTAATAATAAGATGAGCTGAATACCTGTGATATTGTATACTTTATATTAGCAGAAAATTTGAATGCAGCAGAGCACCAAAATATTTCAATTTAAATAAAAGTCTTTAAAGATTAATTAAAAATTACCTCTGGTATTGTCTTAACTCTGTACATTAAGATATACTTTTATACTACTCTGATGGAAAGTGTAAACATAATGATTATACTTAGGTTTCAAATATGAGTTACTCATCTCTTATGGTTTTCCCCCTCTTTCAGTTTCTTAAGAGAGCAGAGTCTAAAAGTAAAAGCCAATCAAGACAAATTTAAAATTCAGGTTCTGGGGCACCTGGGTGGCTCAGTCGTTAAGCGTCTGCCTTCGGCTCAGGTCATGATCCCGGGGTCCTGGGATCAAGCCCCGCATTGGGCTCCCTGCTCCACGGGAGGCCTGCTTCTCCCTCTCCCACCCCCCTGCTTGTGTTCCCTCTCTCGCTGTGTCTCTCTCTGTCAAATACATAAATAAAATCTTTTAAAAAATAAAATTCAGGTTCTTTCATATTACAGACTAATTACTCTAAAAATAAGCATAGTTTTCTAGGTGAGTCACTTAGAAAGCTAGAAAATTTCACATATATTTTAAGAACATTGTTATATACACACAACCCAAACTGCTTAACGAAGTCTCAACTGTATATTAATGCCCTTATTTGCTGTATTCCATTAATATAAGGGATTTCATTGTTTCCAGGAAGAAACTGAGGCCCCGTGAAGGGGGAGTGACTTGGTAGAGACCCTGTGAGCATTCTGTGGCTAAGCCAGGACTAGAATCCAAGTTTCCCAACTCCCAAGCCAATAATCTCTATGTACACTATGCTACTGCTCTCTTTGATCATGTATTATCACCAGGATTAATTTATTCAACAAATACTTACTGATTATCTACTACATGCCAGGCACTTTTCTGAGTACTGGGGATACATGAATGAACAAAACACACAAAAATCCCCACCCTCATAGGAAGATTACAAAATAAAAATATAATATCCTCTAAAATAAAAAAATATACCATTAGAATGAACTGGTGTGAGGGCAAGTAAATTTGAGCAGGTGAAGGAAAGGAGGAACAGAAAGAGGCCTACAGGAAGGCTGGCTTGCAGACCGAACTGTAGTTTCTAAATAGTACATAGCGGGATGAAGACATGATCCCTTGCCCTGAACTGCTCCTATCCAGTTTGTTCTCCCTGGAAGGGAAAGATATGGGCAGGAGAGAGCGGGATGCTGGAGATTTGTGGAACAAAATGAACAGAAAGGAATGGAGCTAAGGTCTACCTTGGGGGCGGGAGCTGCTTTGCTATCTGGGCAGTCCTCTTACAATGTAATGTAACAAGTCATTTTTAAATTGGGGGGTTGAGGATTGGGGTATGAGATGATGAGAAGGTAAACAGGGATAAAATAACTGGAGAGGGAAGGGACTACCACTACAAAATAAAAAGAAAGGTACAGGAGATCACCTATGCTAGAAGCCATGGCATATCCCTGACTCCCTCATCCAATCAAACACCACATCCTATTAATTATGCCTCATAAATATTTTTTAAAGATGTATTTATTTGAGGGCGCCTGGGTGGCTCAGATGGTTAAGCGTCTGCCTTCGGCTCAGGTCATGATCTCAGGGTCCTGGGATCGAGTCCCGCATCGGGCTCTCTGCTCCTTGGGAGCCTGCTTCTCCCTCTGCCTCTCTCTCTCTCATGAATAAATAAATAAAATCTTTAAAAA